TAAATGTATCTATAATCAAAATAGAACATTATCAATAAAGCATTAAATGATGGATAAAAACTGACTTACATTAAATGCCGTTATAACTTCCCTTAATTTTAAGTTGTTGACAGACCAAAAGTTTTGCCTGGCTTCTTTAATAATTAAGTATCCTACCATATGATTTTACTAACCAATAAAAATGTACTGACAACAATGAGAAATAGTTTTAGACCGTTGGGGTGGGGGGTGGAGTAAGACAGAGCAGTGGGTTGAGACCAGGTGCCTCGATTGTGTCAAAATTAATTGTTTTCCAGCGGGCAAACTCTAAATTATACTCCATTAGTCAAAAAGAAGGACCTACCTACCTTAAGGATTGCTCTTTTTGATAATTTCACGGCATCTGTGTTGATATGTTTACTTGGGTTTGGTTCATTTAATCGAAAATCACTTCATCTAACTGGACTAAATGACCCTGTAGGCTAAATGACACTGTGGGCTGAAGTTTCTTATCGACGGAATGACCCTGTGGATGAAATGACTTTTCGACGAAATAATCCTGCCGACTTCGTATCCCTGTCGACGAAGTGACGAACGAAATAGTCTTTGAGCAAAGTAGTGTCGATGAAACAGCCTGTCGATGAAGTGTTTGTCGCTGAAATGAACGTAACCCGTTTGCTATGTCAACTCTCTAATGTTCTTTTTTTTTTTAAAAAATTATCTTTATTTATTGGTCATTACAGTTATAAAAATTGTGTCTAGTTTATTATCCGTTAAATTAAGGTTCATATTCTAACAAGCAATAAAAATTGCTTCCTATTGTAGCACTGTTTTGTTACGTTTCAATATCCTGTCCTCTTGAGTGCTACCTGGTTTTGTTCTTCCCCATCATGTGCGTCTATGCTAGGCTCAGAAAAGCTGCAGTGCAACGGAGGAAGAAGATAAACACATCACATTCACAATAATCTTAAATTGTCCTATAAAATAAAAATGTCTGCTATATTTTTCACTTAAATTCTAGTATTTCTAAATTTCTCATGTACACCCGGTTTTACTAGTGGAGTAAGACAGGGTGATTTGACTTTTCCTAGGAAAAAATAATATAAAAAAAGTAGTGCATCTATGACTTTTCATTAATGACATATTGTACACAACTCAACAATGAATATCTCGCTTAAATTTGGCAGTGTATTGGTCTAAGTGGTTTAAGGCCGTCGAATCTTAGCTACCCGGTATTACCCCATTTTCCAAAAGTTTCTATATTATATAGATAACTATAAAACATATTTATACTGATAATTGCCCAATATTTAAGTATGTAAGCTTTAATATGATTTTTACTGCTTTAATTATGAAATTCATCATGAAAGGGTTTAAAAATTAAATCCAGACTATTGTATAAATAGTATTTTGATTTATAATTGAAAATATTTGTATTATTGTTGGGGCAGTTATAATTTATGACTTCGCATAGATATGCAGAAAGATAAACGTGTAAAAACTCGAAGTGAAAGATTTATTTTTCTGTTTCAACACTAATTTTATTGTTTTCATGATGAATACATTAATTAAGCGAGTGTTTTAATGGTAAGATTTAAATCTTAGCTGATGTTAGTTGCGCGAACAGATGCGACTTCCGGGGTTTGTTATTATCCGGTTGCGCTTGCAAATTTATTTACGGCATATAAAACGTTGTTTAAAGCAACATAAATAACAGCAGTAAAATTAGAACCACTAAATATAAACTCAATAGTGAGTTTCAGGCGTGAGAAAGGGTAAATTTTTGTTAACTGATAAAGATAATTTACATGGCATTATATATTCTGCCTTTAAATTTAATGCCATTTGGGACTTTTTAATAATAAATTAAAATTGGTGGAAATTAAGTAGTGGATTTAAATATAGTTTAAAATATTAGAACTTTGCTGATTTAATTATTCACTTTCTGTTTTTTTTTAAATTTTTAAATTTTTTTTTTAATTTTTATTTTTTTTATTTTTTTGATTCTACATGACCGTGGCGTCATTTAGTATCAAATATGATAATATAGTTTAAAATATTCAAATTTTGTTGATTTAATTATTGACTTTCCGTTTCCTTTTTTTAAATTTTTTTTTTAGATTCTTCATGACCGTGGCGTCATTTAGTATCAAATATGATAATATAGTTTAAAATATTCAGATTTTGTTTATGCAATTATTCAATTTCTGTTTTTTGCGTCATTTATTATCAAATTTGATAATATAGTTTAAAATATTCAAACTGTCGATTCAATTGTTCACTTTCTGCTTTTTAATTTAGACACTACATGACAGTGGCGTCATTTAGTATCAAATATGATAATTTAGCTCAAAATTTATCATTTTAATGATCTCAAACTTTATGATTACATTTATTTAAAAATCACATTTTATTTCACAAAAGCAATTTTATACTTTTTCTAAAGGAAAAAAAACTGATGCAGACATGATAGGCAATAATTAAGCTCGCAATTTTCTGATATTTCTTTTAGCATATTTGCTATTTGAATAATTTCAAGAACTATTTTTTCAGTCATTAATAATTCATAAATGAAAGAGTGATTGAAAAATCGGTGTAAATAAAATAAATAAATTAGTTTTTAATATTTTTATTGGTTTCATACCGAACAATAAGGTATTGTCTATTTTTAGAATTTCTTAATATTTAATTTTACACATTATGAATTATTTGAAAGGTAAGGACAAATGGTACTACAAATAACTGAAAGGTAAATACAAATAACTGAATTAATTACAGTACCGAGTTCAGACTTGTGTTGATATTTAGATAAGCGTTAATAAGCTAAAATTGTGCTATAGTAAAATTTTTCATGATAATAAAATAATTTTTTTTTAATATGCATGATTGTAAATAGAAAAAACAAAAGATTTTCCACTAATAGAATTTTGATTTCCTTAAAATAAAATTTCGGAGCAGAAACTTTTTAGAATTATATTTCTACTTCGAATGGATTATTCCAAAAATCCAAAATACAATTAACGAAATTTACTATAGTCTTGACGTGTATTAATGTTACGGAAAATGCATAAAAATAAAAATTTGAATATTGAATCACTTTTAATAATAATAATAAGTATGATTGTTTTAAATTTTCAATGTGCATGATTGAGAAGATAAAATGCAAACGATATTTAGTCATAATTTTTTTTGGATTTAAAACAAAATTTCAGATCAGCAAACGTCTGCAACTCAATCAATGCGATATCGTCTGCACGCATTTGTCTCTTGCATAGTAATTGTTCCATCTGTAGTGTGTATCAATAGAAAAGCAAGCAGCCCCTCACTCAAAATTATCTGGGCCTTTGTTTGTTGAAGAGGCAGATGCCTAGCACAACACCTGTTGACAACCTCTTGCGGCCCGGGCATTATTAAGGCGCCATTAAATAGATAAACAGGTTCATAGAGGGAGTCGTGACTTACTAATATGGATGATGGGTTCATCTATGCTTCTATTTTATGACTTCACTTTTTATTACTTTTCTGACTTGGGTGCAGTATTTGTTTGCGGGGGTGAATGTAGAATTTTTTTAGCATAAATTACATTGATATTGAAATGTGGTTCATAAATGCATGATTATTGTGATGTCACGCCTGCATTACACTACATTTCAATGCCGAAATATTTGTTCTTTAGTTCTTTTTAAAATTGTTCATTATAAAACAACTGGTAATTAAAATTCAACAATAGAAATGCAAGTGTAGGGCGTGCGGGACATTTTCCCTGGGACCCTCATTTCTAGGAAGGGGATCAACTTTATCTGTAGTTATCTAGGGGATCCAAGGCATGTGTTGTTCGAAGAAAAAAAAACAAATTTTCTAATATTTGTAAATTCTTTTTAATTCATAAATAGCATCAATTATTAATTAAAATTGAAGAATGTGAATTTGAGATTTATTTAAACATTTTCGTGGTTACTGAACTGAACTATGGAAAGGAAATCTTCTCTTCTCACTGCTCACAGAGTTTCGTCTCTTAGGAAAAAAAAAGAAGAAAAAAAGAGACAATTATCCCCACCCTTTAGTTTTTCAAGCAGCCATAGTTATTGAACAGCGCATGAATATGTTCATACTTTGCAAAATATTGAATGTGTATGAATATGTTCAGTTTTTTTTCATACTTAGTTAAATCAAATTGCTGTAGTGCATGATCCGTTGAATCAATTTTTACCGTAAAATTTTATGCAGTACTTTTTACGGTAATATTCATTTAATCACAGTGATTCAGTGATTTACAGTTAGTATTAAAAAAAAATATTGTGAAATCTGAGGTGCGTAATTTTTTTGTTCCGTAAACTTAGCGGTAAAAATATATTTTATGATAAAAAGTACTGGCACCCTGAGTGCCAGTCCTTTTTACCATAATTTGTTTCGGAATTTTTAAATGTGTATAGTTTGCTGTTTTGACTCTTTGTATTCTGAAATTTTAATGAAACTAAATTTTACTCATATACTAATCTATATTACCTTACTAATAAATATTAATATATTTTACTAATATTTATTATCTTGTTTAATAAATGAAGCTGTTGAAATTGTATATTTGCAACCCCTCGCTTAAACAAAGTTACACCGTCTATTTCCACCCCTCTACAAAAATATATCCAAAACTTTGTCATGAACTTATACTAAAAAATTGTTTGCATCTGAAATAATGCTCTTTTTTAAATTTTTTAACTGTCATTTAATTCAAAAATAAAATGCATAAAGTTTTTTTTTGTTGCTCAACAAATTAATTTAGTTGTCTAGCAGTTTATAATATCGACAAAATCATCAAGTTATTCTTATCATATTTATTAAAACAATTATACAAAATATTTCAATATTTTTCTACAATTTAACATTGTAGTTCTAAATCTATAAACTAACAATTAAATAATTTCTAAATCTGTGGAAAAGAATTAAAGTGCTTTGTCATTAATCCAATTTTAATTTTTAAAATTTAAATATTTATTCAGTTTTTTTTATCTCCTTTATTTTAGGTTCACAAAGTGCGAGCTTTATTCTGCATCAGTTTCGCAAACCTAAAAGAATACGGACGGCCTTCTCACCATCTCAACTCCTAACTTTAGAACATGCTTTTGAGAAAAATCATTATGTTGTGGGAACAGAAAGAAAGCAATTAGCCCAGAGTCTAAATCTAACAGAAACTCAGGTAAATATATAATTTGTTGTCGACAAAATTGTATACTTAAAAAGCATTAAGATCTTTTTAAAGATCTTAATGCTTTTTAAGTATACAATTTTGTATGTAATTAAGACGTCGGGCCAATGCCCTGCTCGCTGCGCTCGCCAATCACTGGAGCTGCTTTCACATTTCCCTTTGGATCATTTTGCTTGCTCAGTGACTGTTCAAGTGTTTTAGTCTAGCTTTTTAAAATGAAATTTCAAAAATATGCAATAAGAAAAGGAAGGGATACCTTTAGTTAATATGCATTTCATTCAACTTATATGCATTACTAGGGGGTCCAAGCTTCCTGTTCGCTGCCGCTCCCCAACCCCGCTCCCCAACTTCGCAATAATTGTTGTTTCTTGGTAGAAAACAGTTTTTCTACCCAAGTCAAAATTATTCACTTAACATTTCTGAACTAAAATGAATTCTGTTGGCTTACGCTTGTGCTTCCACTTTCTACGCTCAAATATTATTATTATAAATATTTAGATCTGTTGGTGAACAGAAGTAATTTTTCTATGCCATCATTTTATGAAATAACATTTATATTGCTATAACATTATATTGTTCAAACAAATGTGATGCGTTTACAACCGTAATTTAATGTTTTCGTTTACCAAACGGGCGGATTTATTCTATACTATTTTTGCTTGTTTCTCATTGTGCATGAATCTGTTCGATTGTTTTTTAAATTATTTAATAGATCTTTTTAACTGTAATTTATAACAATATATTAATGTTACTTGGACAAAAATAATAGTAAAGCGGTTAATAAGGTTATACCACTTTTCTAAATACCTTTATTTTGTAATGTAGCGCTGAGTTACATTATAATAATAAGAATAAATGAAAAAGAAAACAATTCACTTAGTGTTAAACTCTTGAATTAAAAGCGTAATAATAGCAGTAATGGAAAATAATTTTAAATGAACACTAGAAAGACGGAAATTTAGTATATACCTATATTACCCAACAGTGGTCAAAATGACCGTATTGTGAAAGAATAAAGAAATTTGTTTAAAATTAATTTTTAATATTTCTTATATTATTTACAGTTATATAACAAGTTTTTAGTAAATATTAACAATAACAAAAAATATATGTTGTACAAAAAGTCACAAAATTCTAAGAAATTGCGTCATTACATATACACCATTGTTTTTCTAATTGAAATTAAAAAGCAGTCAAAATGACTTCCTTAGGCAATCTAGTGTTAAGGATACAAAAATATTTATAGAAATACAATGTCTTTATGACTTTTATTAATTTTATGCTGATGATAACCAAAATAATAATGAAATGAATGAGGAAAAATGACGTGATTCCAACCAATAAAAAATGCAAGGACAACTATGGCAAACTGCGACACCTTCCTTAGATTTTTATCTATAGTAAGATAATTCAATTTTAGTGCATTTTATTTCTATTTCAATTTAATTTTTGAAACAAAAAAATACCCTTATATGCGCAGTTCATACTTCAATGCATAAACCACAGCAGTCTTAAGTTTCTCCTTTTCTTATTAACTTAACTCATAAGATAAATGAAATCCAAAGAATAGATTAAGAAATTTAAAAAAAAAACTAATAATTTTTTATAGAATAAACACTGTTTAAAATTACATAAAAATGCAGCTACTATTCCAAATAAAATGCAACCTTCGCAAATTAATAGGAATCATTAATGCTCAAATGCAACTATTTCTGAATTATTCTGTTGCATGTGTAATTTAATCAGCATAATTGAAACAAAAATGTAGCACAGTTACCCAGTTTGTTGGTTTATATGAACAGTTCAATTTCAATTTATCACGTCTAGCTGGACAATAAACTTTTTTTTCATTGCCAGCGCGAAAAAAGAAATTTAATAGGATTTGTGATGAGATCACATACCAGGGTGGTCACAGAACAGAGAAATCATGCTGAACAGGGAAAAGTCAGATAATTTTATCAATCTGGAAAAATTAGAGAAATGTTAGTGAGTGGTTACATGTAGTGTAATTATTACAGTAAAAAGTAGGGACATTTTTTCAGTGATAATTACAGTAAAAACACTGAATCCTTTTAATTAAATAAATATAACTCTAAAAGTTATAGTATAGTATTTTACGGTAGAATCAATTTTACGGATGATGCACCCGAATTGCCGGTACTTTATACCTTAATTTGATCCCGATTTTTTTACAGTGCAAAGGGTAATAATTAAAGATTTTATAGTCGAAAAAAATTGGGAACCATTGTAAAAATCTCGATAATTTATTCCATATGTCCTTTTCGCAGTATTACAAAATATTTTTGTACAATTTTCATTTCTATATTATGATTTTTAATAATTACCTAAATTTCAAAAAATTTAAAAAAAAAAAAAGTTCTTTATGGCAGAAAAGACAATCGAAATTACGATAATTGTTGTTTTAGCCCTTGTACAAACATAAAAACGGAATATAATCTGAGCTACTCATTGTTTACTGTTGCATTTAAAGGCTTTTACACACTATTTTTTGTGTAACGGTTATTTTTTTCGAAGCGTTGAACGTCAAAACTTTTGCACGTTTTCCAATTACTCTCCTAATTTCAAGACACGCATCTTCTTTTAAGCCAACGTTTACCTGTTTTCAGATTATCTTAAGTAACGGGTATTTATTCCATGGGCATGAATCGTGTGTTAAGTATTTGTTTTGTAAACATCTGGTAACCTAAACAGAGTCATGCACTTAAAAGCCCATCCTAATAACATTCTATCTCTAAAGCTTTTATGAGTCAGATAAATGGAAATGAATGTTTACCATCAGCAATATGCAGCCTCTACACGAATTAGTAATTTTAAACGTCTATCAAACCTATGTGGAAGACGTGGCAAATAGAAATACCCGCTATTTGAAAATACCTGTTACTTTAAAAAGATTGTAACGACCACTTAAAAGGAATTTGCTTTTAAATTGAATAGTTTATATGTCTAAAATTATATTTTATGATAAGAATTGTGCAAGATCTATGTATCAAATTAATGTAATAGGCAATGATGTAAGTTAAATATGCCTTTAGATATGGAATGTCATTTATAATTGTCATGGTAATTAAAGAATATATTTTGCTTCACATATTTTCATCACCGATGAGTTACTTAACCGGCAAGATATTCGTCTTTTGATTACTTGAACAGCGACATTTTCGTCTTATGATTTACTTAACATACAAGATATTCGTTTTTCGATTGCTTAACCGGCGAGATATTCGTCTTGTGATTACTTAAACAGCAAGATATTTGTCTTGTGATTTAGTTGTGATTTCGATTACCGGAAAGACATTCATCTTGGGATTTACTTAACTGGCAAAACATTAGTCTACTGTTTTGCTTAGTCTACTGTTTTGCACAACATATTCGTCATGTAATTTGCTTACTCGGCAAGACATTCGTCTTAGAATTTCTTTAACCGGCAAGTTTGTTATTTAATTGGCAAGATGTTCATCATTAGACAGCATCTGTTGATTTAAATTATATTTGTTTGTGGTTTGAATCTTTAAATTTTAATTTCAGAAGTTTCGCAGATAAAGATAACGCTATAAAATTCTTGATACATTGAGAAAAAAGTATTGTCAAAACTACCAGAACATAGTAGAGTTTACCGTGTTTCTGGCTATGAGTGAACACCAAAAAGCTCGGTAATTTTCACCAAAGCACTTTTGCAATGATTGTGGTAAAATTAACAATAAAATATGCTTTTACAATATGTGACAAAATTTCGTCAACCAGTCAAAATTTGGCAATTTTATTATGATACCTTAGTACATGGCATAAGACCATTTACTCGGTTAAATTCACTTTTCAGTTCTATATTTTTTGCTTAGTGTCGTAGAACTATAATTTTGAAAATAATAATTTTCGGTGTAACGTCATCTTATCAACGGAAAAATTACCAAATAAATGGTTTAAATACCGTATATTTTGGTTTTCATTACCAGAATTATGTTGTTTCTTTTTAACCAAATATGTCATTTTACCATTAAAAAATTACGGTAAATTACCGTACTGTACGTACGGTAATTTTAAGATCATTTTTTTCTCCGTGTAAAAAGTTTAACTAGCCATGAATTTAGATTACTAGAAAACATTATGATTACTGAAAAAAGATTTTCACTGCTTAGATTGCATTTTTACAGAAACTCTTAAAATTTTTGCGGGTTAGCTACATATTCAGACGGTATACTTTCAAATGCTTACACATTTTATCTAGCTATAAATCCATCAATGTATCATTAAATTAGATGATTAATAGTAGATTTCTTGAATTCTTTTTAAAATCCAATTAAAGGACCTTGAAAGAAAAATGATCAAAAATCAATTAAGGTCAAAGAAAGTTTCGGACTCCTTGATCCTAAAAATACAACAATTTATTTTAGTCTCAAATGATTTTAATTGAATTAGTGTATTGGCTAATGCAGTTATATTTCAAAACACGAGAGAAACTAAGTAGTTTCGAGATAAAAAAAAATAATTTCAAAAGCTTCATAATTTTGATATCTTAAATGCTTTTAAGAGATTATGATGTCTTCAAATTTTAGTTTTGATATTCCGTATCAAACTGATGTGTAATGTAGATGTAGTCTAAAAATAGAAAGAAAATTTCATAATTTTAATATTTTTTTCGCTTTTAAGAGATTATGACGTTTTAAAGATTTACTTTACTATCTCATCTCAAACTTATGCAAACTTAAATAGTATGAAGATTAAGAAAAAACTTCATTTTTTTAATATTTTTATACTTTAAAGAAATGATGACGTTTTGAACTTTTATTTTAATATCCTGCCTCAAACTTATACGCAAAGTATTATGGAAATAAACAATAAAAAAGCTTCACATTTTTAATAACTTATACGTTTTTAAGAGATTCTAGCGTTTTGAATTTTTGTTTTAATATTTCGTCTCAAGCTTATGCGTAAAGTAATATGAAGATTTGAAAAAAAAAATCGTATCTTTAATG